GATGCGTATAAACAGGGAAGATCTTAGGTGGTGGCTGCAGATTACCAAAACTAGACTTACGTTCCAGCACCAATCATAATCAACGGGGTAGATTTAACAGAGGTTGCCTCCTTCACTTATCCGGCTGGGAAGCATCATTTTAAACTACAGGCGGAACTGATGAAGATGTGAAAGTCAGAATCGGAAAGTCAAGATGCACCTTCATCAACCTGAAACCAATTTGCAAATCTTCTGCACTCAACATATGGAACAAGATTCGGATTTTCAACACCAATGTCAAGTCGGTCCTTCTATACGGGTCGGAAACGTGCATTGCGTGTCAGAAAAAGAATTTCCAACAGGCCACTGCAGACTTTTATCATCACCAGCTGCCTTCGCTGGCTTCATACGGAAGATCAAATGGCCAGCCAGCAAGCTAGAAAGAATTAGTAACAAGAAACTTTGGCCGGGAACAAATCAACCAAGAGCCGATCGCTCAACAATAATGTAGGAGAAAATGGAGATGCATCGGGCATACATTGAGGAGGCCGTCGAATGACATCGTGCGCAATGCAGGCCATCACTCGAGTGGAATCTCAATGGGAAGCGACGAGTGGGTCGTCAGTGTGAGGGTGACATGGAGGAGATCGTTTGGGGAGGAGGAAATGCGAAATTGTGAAAAGCTGTGGTCTAAGCTGAAGAGGACGGCAGAAGAAACGACAAAGTGGAGATGTTTTGTTGAAACCGTATGTTCCACTCGGAACTCAAGGGAATAATAATAATAATAATAGACTCACGCTCAACCCGTCCATCTTTTATGTACTTACTGCTAGACAATAAACTAGGCGAAGTAATAATAATATTAATAATAATAATTTGCTTTATTCCAAAACAGTACTTGTGATACAGAATGGAATTCCCAGCATTTTTACTACAGTATTGCATCCAGTTAGTACATTATCAATAAATAAAATCCTACATAGAATAAGGAAATCTCAGTTCACTATGATAACAACATATTGGCATGTCGGTAGCAAAGCCAAAGTTGAACAGAGTGTTTGAAGGTGTTAGAAAAGTAGGTGCTATCATATTTACTGGCGTGAGCGGAAGAAAGAAACAAAGCAGCACATAACAGAAAAAAAGAGAGGAAAGGAAAAGAAAGAAAGAAAATGTTGTACCTATAAATGATATGAGTTGGAAAGACGAGATCCAGTTGTTCTACTTACTATTTAATGAATTATAGGTGTCACGCCTAATGCTTTCTTTATCACACAGAACACGAGCTAAGTAGGGTATGGTTGAGTTTTTGTACTTGCTGGTGCAGGCAAATAGTTTTCTATATAGGCTTCTGGTTTCGCCTGCTGAGATGAAAGGGGAGAGTTGTGAGTGAAGAGGGTGGTGTGAGTTAGATAAAATGGATTTGGCCCATTTTTCACATGAGTCCATGTGCCTGTCAACCAGAATATTAACAAGCTGATTGAGTGGCACGTTGCTTACCCTACTGACAGCCTTTAACATCCTGCGTAATAAGGTATAGTATTTCTTTAGTAGCCCGGGAAAAATTAAGGGGGAACAATAGAGAATGATAGGGAGAATGCGAGAGTTAACGAATTGTAGGAGTAAGGATTGGGTTGTCCTAACTTCTTGATGTAGAAGGTAAGACAGAATATTATCTTAGAAATCGTCAAGATATGAGACGACCAGGAAAGATCAACAGATAGAATGACGTCTAGGTATTTAATTTCCGACTTGGTTTCTATTTCAGTGCCATCTCTGTTGCCTTAATCGGAACTACTTCTGCATATAACTGACTAGTATTCTATCTATGACATTGGAAATAAAAAGAAATCAACTGACTCACTGGTTTGACAAAATGTTTATCAATAATAAATCTTATTGAAAGTGATTGTTTAGTGACAATTTATCGATTTTTTGTGTTATTCTCTCACCAGTGATTATCTGTATTTGCGTTGTTACTGTTTCGGCTTTACTCTTATCGATTTTAAAGAAGAAGAAAAAACAGAATAAGATCATCATCATCATCGTTGTCTCACAGCAACATAGCAACGACAACAATAACAACAACAGTAACCATAACAACTAGAATAATGTTCACTCACTGAATATTTTTTGTTTCATTTTTATGTTTGTAAATAAATAAAACAACGATTAAGATGTGGAAAGTAGTTTTCGCCACTCTTCTTTTTTATTTTTCTGGGACTCGGTTACCATGACGTCATCATCTGTATATGCATATAAACATCCATTTACACGTACTCACAAACACAATAAGTACTGAATACTACTGTAGTATATAAGTACTAGATAAGAAAGATACTGTGATTTTATTGAGCGGACAAAATACTACAACACCATAAGGTAGTTAAGCATAAGTGCAAAGAAAGACAGATAGACTAACAGACAGAGAGTGAGTGAGAGAAAGCAACGACTTATCAATGAATTTTTCTCTGAATATGCCCCCTGTTTATATTTGTTTGTATGTCGATTATATTTTGGTGTCTTTTATGAATATTTATATATATATATATATATATATATATATATATATATGTTCCCTTGGGTTCCGAGTGGAACATAGAGCTTCAACAACACATCTCCATTTTGTCCTATTTTCCGCGGTCCTGTTTAGCTAGTCCGACGATTATCCTTAGCCTCTGATGTCCCCCTCAATGTCGCTCTCCAATGCCGTACTGGTCGTTTCCCATTCGGGTTCCACTCCAGAACCAACTACCTGGCTCACGATGTCATGCGATGGTCTCTTCAGTGTGCATCCGATTCATCGCCACTTAGTTTCTGCATTTTTGTTGAGCCATAGGTCCTTGGTTGGTTCGTTTCTAGAGTTTCTTGTTGTTTATATTCTTCCTGACCGGCCAACTCATCTACACTATGGAGTCAGCGAACTCAACTGTTGATGAAAGTCTTTGTAGCCTGTTAGAAATGCCTTTCGCGATGCTCAGTGCAAGTGCCTGACCTATAAAGAAGAATCACTGACTGACTTAATATTGCTGTTGGGAATCACAATTTTGTTGTTTATGCTGAGCGCAGAAGATCTGCGAACTGATTTCAGAGTGATGAAGGTGTACCTAGTCTTTCCGATTCTGGCCTTGACATCTTCATCCGTTCCGCCCGCCTGTAGTTCAAATTATGCTTACTAGATAAGTGAACGAAGTGACCTCTTTCCAATTTCTCCCATTGATAGTGATTAGTGCTGTTTGTTTTCGCAGTCGGTTCGTTATCTTCATCACCTCCGTCTTCTCTATGTCCACCTGGAGTCCTGTCTTCGTCGCATGCTTGCTTCTTCAGCCAGTTTGTTGGTTTTTGCCTGCGACATTAAACATAAATCATCTGCGACATCCAGATCGTCTAGAGACTTCTTATCTGTCCAACATATTTTTGTCTTCTCGCTCACCACAGTCTGACGCATGATCCAGTCCACCACAATTAAGAGAATCATCTGTGACAATATGCAACCAGCTTGTCTTATTCCTACTTATTCACTTCGTAGGCCTCGCTGAGTTTTCCGTTGTGGATCACCTGACACGTAGCATTGTCCTGTAGCTGATTTCCGCTCTAAAAAGTTTTTTTTCTCCCACCTACAGAAAAGTAATAAGTGGTGGGTGAACATATGAGTAGTTGTACAATGACTGAGTATATCGTAAGAGTTGATTATCAGAAGACAGAAAGATTGAACGAAGAAATATCCAATTTTCAATTAGATCCTCATTTCACTCTGGCCATACTCTAATCTATACATCCATAGCATTTTTATTACAATACACAACAGTTTACCAATCAAGTGCCACTGATATGTTTGTTAACAATAATTAGTCAGTGTCAAAATGTCAATGAGTTGATAATTAACGAAGAAAATCAAAACACATTTAAAAGGTAGAAATGATTAAAATAAATTAATTTTACAAGGATAACACGTAATTAAAGATGAAGTGGTCAGAAAAAATGTGTATCTACCAGTTTGACTGCAGCTGCGGAGCCAGCTACATTGGGCGTACAATTAGGCAAGTTCATCATCGTATTTCTGAACATCATCCAACATGGTTAAGCAAAGGACAAACAAAATCTATTCGTAGTTCTATTTTAGCACACCTTGTTGATACTGAGCATAAGATTGATGTGAATACTGCATTTAAAATTATTTATCGCATTCCTACTAATCTTAATTTTGCTCTACGAGTTCATCTTCCACATACAGTTGAAGCAGTAGGAATCCACCTGAAGAAGCCAAACCTGTGTGTTCACAAGAAATTTGTACAGCCACTTTCCTTACCTAGGTCATCGTTACATGAATGTATAAACCGGACCGCTTCACCCCCTCCCCCTAATCATTTAAAAATTATAATTGTTTTTTTTCTGACCATTTCATCTTTAATTACGTGTTATCCTTGTAAAATTAATTTATTCTAACCATTTCTACCTTTTAAATGTGTATTGATTTTCTTCGTTAATTATCAACCCATTGATATTTTGACACTGACTAATTATTGTTAACAAACATATCACCACTTGATTGATAAATTGTTTTGTATTGTAATAAAATTGCTATATATATTAGAGTAGAGCCAGAGATGAGGATCTAATTGAAAAGTGTATATTTCTTCGCTCAATCCTTCTGTTTTCTGAATGTCTAAATGGAGATTTTTTTCTAGATTATCAGAAGGATAATTAAAAGGACGCTACTAATAATCATGGGCTTTAATTATATATTGTCATTGCCCATACCTACAGCTTTAGAAAAGAAACTTAACATAATTTTCCAGTGGTTATACAATTTAAGACTACTGAGCTATCCAGCCAACAGTTCATTGACCTAAGGAAATGATTTATTGCAGAAATTCGCCAATAATTATTTATAAACTCTTATCATTACTCTATGTAGAAAATAATGAGTAGTCCTGTACTTCTCCTGTTATTATTGCATTTTCTCTTAATTCTCTTAATCCCCATTGTCCCACTTTTATTGTATATCTCTTTTTCCCATATAGTCTGATAAAGACGATAAGGTAAAATTAATGCAGTCAATGGAGTTGTCTATTATGCGTAAAGGTATTTACAATAATATACATATATATCAATGAAAAAATGGTGTGTGTGAAGTTAATTACTAACACATTGTGACAAAGGAGAATTTGTGTTTTGTGTGTGTGTGTGTGCGTGTTCCTTTGATTAACCTCTGTTTAATAACAATACTTCATTTCAAATGAGGTTATAAAATGATATCAATTAGAGAGTCATTAAAATCCAGGGAGTAATTCACAACCGCTTCGTCCTTTTTCGGGACTCTTCAGGAGTAGGCATCCACCACCACAACAGAAACTGAACTCAGGTTCTCACCATTCCGGCTAGTTTGGTATTGCAATTACTGAACTGAGAGGAAAAAAAATTCTGTGTATAATAATGTAGTGATGATGGCATCACTCAATAACTACTATCCATTTATGTTTGTGTGTATGTGTGTGTGTGCAAGTGATTTTAACCCATTTTGACTTCTTTCTCTTGTTATATTTTGAATTTTGTCACCCTTTTGTTCCTTTCATGCTAAACTAATAACCTGACATGTCCCTGTGTGTGAAGAGATGATATCAGATGGCGTAGGATAGCTTAAATGTGTTGGAATTCATGAGCTTTTGGGTTACATAGTAATCTGCTTACCTCATAACCGCGTAGTACTAGGTTGGATATATGTTAAAGCTCTGTGACTGATTAATCTGGACGCTCAGCTTCTAACTCTACTATGTTACGAGCTGGAACCCTGTACCAATTACCGAGATTCGGTTTGGGGGTAGATATTATCATTAGGCTTCTTACTATATAAGTACTGAAAAGCCTATAAAGAAGGACGAAATACATGTTTAACTGATCTAGTTTTGTAACGAAAACTCTCTCACAGTTAAGCATTTCATGTAAGAGCAGGCTTTGAGCACTGCGGTCAAATATAATTCCGTATTAGGTAAGTAATTAACACAGAGTGATACAGTGTTAATAACTGGATAACGCTTCAAGTACAATGTTTTGTTCGTAATCATATCAAAGTATTCATACAACTTCATAACTTGCTTTACATATTTTCACTTTCATCTGTTTCATAGTGCAACTTTATGGTAATAGGCGTTACGTCATTTCAAATGCACGTTCTTAGTGTTGATAGGGTGGCAGTAGCACCTTTCCATTGCATCCTGTTGTCTTCAGCCAACTCCACGATTCCTCATGAGCTTTCATATCCTCCTCAAACTATATCCTCTATATCTCCACCGGACACATGTCCAACTCATTTCCCATTCGGGTTCCACTCGACAACCAACCTGGCTGGCGATGTTATGCAATAGTCTCTACAACGTGCGCCCAATCCATCCCCATTTTTTTCCTGCATGTCTGTTGAGCAATAGGTCCCTGGTTGGTCGGTTTCTGATCGGCCACTTGTGCGTCGGTGGCACAGTGGTTAGGACTCTCGCCGACCATGCACATGGTCCGGGGTTCGATCCCCTGCCGGCGCACACCCGATATCTATGGTATGCCTGAATTTGGGGAACCGATATCCATGCTGAAAATTCCATACTTGTACTGAAAATACGGTGTGGAATCAAGCTGTAAATCAAAAAAAAAAAAATCTTCAATATGGAGTCAGCTGTTAATGAAGGTCTGCAGTAACCTGTTGAAAATGCTTTCGCACCAAGTTTCTGACCCATAAGGAAGCACTAACTGACCTAACATTGGTATTGAAAATCCGAATCCTGTTCTTCATTTTGATTGATTGCAGAAGATTTCCGAACTGATTTCATACTACTGAGTATGTCTGTCGTACTTATTCGATCCTTCTTGGCTTCGACATATTTATCTGTACCCACTTGTAGCTGAAATGATGCTTTCTAGATAAGCGGAAGCGGTGACTTCTCTTCGATTTCGCCGGTTTTAAGTTCGGAAAAAGTGGGAAGGTTGGGCGTGTGCGGCTATCCGTAGAGAAATTTCAAACCACAGAAATTCTTTTTCCGATTAGGTGATATTTTTTCTTAAAGAATATTTCATTTGATGAATGATATTTCGCTTTTCTCTACTTGTATATATACCTAACGTCAGTGTTATTTGTATTCTTAATTCACTTAACCCTTATTAAAATATTTTATAGCTAACAAAATTTGTTGACTTTTCGACTTCACTTAATTTTGTTGTGCTGTTGAATTTCAGGTGAAAATCTTTGAGTGATTTTGATGCAGTTGTGTTCTCTGAGCTAATTGATTTAAATTGCGAACCTCTAGTTGTCCTTCTAGACAACATCGCTTCAGTGCAGGTTTCCGTATGAAATGAACTAATTTGAATTTGAATAAAGCAAGAACAACAGTTTTTGCAAAATAAAACGGCACCATCATTCATTTTGTTGGCTTCTCTTCAGCTGCTTACAACTCAAAGACATTGTCAAATAAAACTACAGAAAAAGTTTTAACATACTTGCACAGAGTTCATTTTTAAACAAAAATCAATCAATATATGCATACAATGCTAATAATAATAAACACTTTATCGCAAACATGAATAATCATACACAATGAAAACTTTTGGCGTTATGCAATCAGATGAATGACAGGGTGAAAACATTCAGTTACCAGGGCAAGGAAAGACTGATAACCGCTTCTTTCTGAACACATAAATCGGGTTTCAGGCGCTTGATGGAGATTGTTTCGGCAAACTTACGGAGAACTGAACTCTTTTGCTTATTGATAAGTTTGAACGATCTTGCGACGTCCACCTCGTGACCCGTGTGAAGGAGATGCCTGGGGATGGCACTGTTTAAAGCATTTGTTCCCTTTAGACATAGGCTTTTCGGTACATGTTCAGAAAGTCGGAGGTATGCACTTCTTTCTGTTTTTCCAATGTAACTGCTCCCGCAGGTACATGTGAATTTGTATACACGGTTGGAGTTAACATGAGAAGGATATCTGTCGACTTTTGATTGCACCAAAGAGCAAGTTGTTCGATAGACGGGAACCAACTTAGCTGCAGTATAGGCCTTGGTTAGTGACGTCCTCAATCTTCTATTCAGATTCGCTGTAATATTTTCACCTTTAAAATCAAGTTGAATGAAGACAAGCTTTTTTTTCCGATTGTAATTTGTTTGACATTTAAGACTTCAGATCTTCCGTACTTGTTTTAATGAACTTTTGAGGGTAACCGTTTTTCTTTTCAACTTCTTTCCGAGAAACAAAAATTCTTCCTCTAATTTCTCTCTAGAGCATATTCTCCTGGCTTTATAGTACAGAGTTCTTGACTAGTGCTCGTTCATAACTGCTTGGACAAAAACTATTAAAATATAGATATACTTAATAATGTCTTTAGGCTGTAAGCAGATGATGAGAAGCCAACGAAATGAATGTTAGTACCATTTCATTCTGCAAAAACTGTTGTTCTTGCTTTATTCAAATTCATTAAAGGGAATAAGTGTATGAACTTATTTAATTCTCCATGAATAATGTTTATTTGTATTTCCTGACAATCGTTATCGTGATTGGTTGTTAGTTCACATCTCTATTGATCATTTTTATTGACTTGTTGAATTCAAATAAGTCCATTTCATACTAAAAAAAACTACGCTGAAAATGTTGTCTAGAAGGATAATGAGAAGTTCGCAATTGAAATCAACTAGCAGCTCAAAGAACACAACTAAATCAAAATCAAACACCTGAGCTACGAATCTCTTCTCTTATTTGAGTGATTGTTTCTCTAATCTACGTGTTTTTGTATTATTATTATTATTATTGGTGCGTTGTGGTGACGTGTATCCGCTAACCTATAATACTTTGTACGTAACTCTAACCGTGTGGTGTAACTTACTTCGTGTGATTTGTTTGTTGTCATTAAACTGTTTTCAAAATTGTGTATGTAGTTTTAGGCCGACAGCATACATGTGCACATCCAGGCGGTAGTTGATAGAAGAAGGTCTGGTATCAATTGATGTGAAAGGGAACTGTTACGTGGTTGTTAATTTTGCACAACTTTTTCACACCTTGTTGTACGGCTAATTAAATGTCTTTAGACAATAAACTGTTTAAACCTGTTGGCATAACAGCAGTTGCTAGCTGAAACTACTTAACTTAATGAGCTACAAATGGAGATAATGGATAGTTGTAATTTCAGAAATTGTTATAATCCTTAGTTGGTCATGACTCCCTTGTCAGATAGGGGGAATAAATCAGTCTGTAGTGTGCAGCTCTATGGTAAAAAATGGATACGGGCGTCAAAATTTTCTAGCGACTAGCCCATGAATTCCAACACCTGCGAATTCACGCTATGGCGAGACCGCTAGCTAATGTCATCACTGGCGAGTGTTTTGTCCCTACACCCGACCTTCTGTACCCTACTCGGGTATATGATGAAATCCTGAGACCAATCAAATCCCTGCAAACAAACACTTGCGTATAAATTTGATGCTCATTAGTAACTGGTCCTATTAAGGTAGGTAGTTTTCTAAGGTTCTAGTGGGAAGTCGTGACCAGTGGGGTGCAGCATCTTGGGTGTCAAAACAAATACTCACCAGTGATGACATTCGCTAGTGGTCGTGCTATATCGTTAATTAGCAGGTGTTAGAATTCATGGGCTAGCCATTGGATCGGGTCCCAGTGGCTTAATGGTCCACAAGCTCGCCTTGTAACCGGAAGGTGCTGGCTTTGAACTCTGGGAGTGAGTGTGTATTGATGAAGAGTCCCAAACTAGGATGAAACAGCTGTCTAGTGGCTAGTACTCCCAGGTTCTTCAATGGTTCTCTAACCAATGTCAGTTCATGATGAAATCTTGAAACCACTCGAATTCATTCAAACCAACACTTGTATTCTTATTGTGAGAGATCTGGATGTGTTTTCTATTCCTTTGCTTTTCGAGGCGAGCATAGGGCGTCTAGCCTTGAGAAGTGCTATTTTCGCAGAGTGGGGTTGTTAGCTTCACTCCCAACATTCCCAGTTTACTGGATTTATTAACAGCTAGTCGAGTTTATGGGGAGTGCAGTGCATCCATCAGTAGGGAATCTTACCCAGACCACGTGGGTGGTGGTAGTCGATGAGCATTTTACCATTAAACCACAGATGCACTGGTCAGACATTTTGTAATGTAGACCAAATCAATTTCAAGCCATTTGATGCTATGTTATTGTGCACTTTCTCATAGAGTAGTGTCTACACCATAGATTCTTATCCTAGTATCCTTCCTCGGAAGTATTTTATTGCTTTACTAATTTTCTAAAGGTTAATTGAATATCTGACATTATAAAGTGATAAAAAAATTTGTTTGTCTAATAGTCTGTACTGCTGTTGTGTTCTATGAGCTGGGTGGTTGAATTCCGAATGTTTCATTTTTCTTCTTCTGGACAGCATCTTCAGTGCTGAATTGAATGTCAGATCCCACAAGATACGATTTCCATCTTATGTGCTGTCAGCTGGATTTACTTACTTTTCAGTTGGAATGTTCCAAGTGAAACTTAAACTCAACACCTTTTCTTAGTTTCAATCGTAAAAATGGCTATATATGAATTAGTTCACAGAGTTACTTCAGATGTCGTTCTCATTAATCTTATTTGTATGCAGTTTCTGCGATTTTTAAAAAGGGAATTAATTAGACACATGTAAAAATGTAATTGGTTGATGGTGACTGGCAGTGGAATCCAGGATAACACACATTTCATCCTTTTTGGGACTCGTTACAGGGTAGTGCAGGTGCATCCAGATGACGAGTCCCAAATAGGACGAAATTTGAGCTATCGTGGATCCCGCTGCTAGTCACCATCCACCAATTGACTTCAAGTTACATGACCACGCATCGTCGAAGCATCTGCTTTAGGAGCCGACATGTCGGCCTGAGACCAAGCACTTCGGTGCAATCAATCGACGGGGTAATCTAAATTGAATTAAATCTGTGAAAATTGTATTTTTAAAATCTCAGCGAAATTGAAATCAGTAATTCCAACGTTTCGTTCGACAAATAACTGGTCCGAACTTCTTCAGGGAAATTAATTAAAATAACAAAGGTATATATATACATAAAAGGATACATCTTTAATTTTTAAAAAGCTTGTCCAGTCATATGAACAGGTATCAAAATGAAATAAACAAAAAAATTGCCTGGACTGTGATCAAAATTTGACTGAAGATTTAAAATTATTAGTCTACTTTTGTTAAATACAGTAAACACTGTGTACTTTTGCATCAGGCTTCTAGTGATTACGGTCAACTAAAGTTCAGGGTTATAGATAAATGATAAAGAAAAATATGTGTTTATTCTACACTATATAAGTGCTAGATCGTCTGTTATCACCACTGATGAGTGCTGCAGACTCCATTTGTTCTAAAGCCATCTAGGAATAGGCTCTGGAATCCTTACTTGCAAAGATCGATGTATCTGTGGCCACATATACATTTAAATTGATAGATGCAGTGGGATGTGACATCATTTTTCGTATGCTCTAAGGACTTACATGAATATACAGACTTGAGATTCTTAATTATTCTGATCTTAGATGCATAAGGCGGACTCTGAAGCAAATGGAATCCTCAGAACCCATTAATAGTGAGAAGAGATGAGCTGGCTCTTCTATTACGAAACATATTGTGGCAGCGACACAGATTGTAACGGTAGAAGTCGAGAAATTTGATAAAGGAATGATCATTTGAAATTTGGTATCTCTATATAGGGAAATTATTCACACCTTATTTTCAACGCACCATTTGCAAAGATCTTCGTGTTGTGCTACTTCAAGCCGTCATATTGCGTTTCTTTGAGTTCCTTTCACGTCTCCCATGTATCTCAGCTACTCTGTATCATATGCTTTCTCTGACATTAAATCTATTCGATCATTTTGTGTGCCGATGAACGTCTCTTTATATACTACTGATAAATCTCATCAGCAATACATGCCATATTATTATGGAGACAGGACATGAAATTGATGTTTGCACGTCTTTTAAGCATATGTGTATGCATGATGGAACAATTGCAGATCATTTGTTAGCCTTTTCATAAGAAGATATAGACAATCAGGGAATTTAGATTAAGTATGATAAATTAATTGTACGTCGGTGGTTCAGTGGTTAGGACTGTCGTCGACCATGCACATGGTTCGGGGTTCGATCCCCGGCCACAGACGCACTCCTTTACCTCGCTAATCCAGTAATAAAGCTGGTAAAGAGGAAACGTTAGGCACGAGGCTAGCTATCCCATCCTGTAAAAATAAACACTGCTATAGAAACTTCAAGCCTCTAGCTTGAAGCCCTATGTTCCACTGGGAACGTGAAGGGAAAAAAAGATAAATTAATTATATGTATTCATTTATTATTTATTAATCGGGATTTTTCATGTATCCACTAACATCACACCTTCACGCCCATTCATGCTTTTGGGATTCACCCATATATGTATGGCTTTTGAAATTAGTCTTTATGCGAACTGAAACCATTCTGTAGAACCTTGGTCCTATCAAAGTCTATCTTGTGTCCCATTTCTATCGAGTGTACTGCTATCGCTAATCTGTTTCCTAGCGTCTTCAAATCTTCAAATGTCTTTGGAATCACCTTTAAACATTGTTTATGCTGCTTTACTCTTACATTTACCTTTCTGGAAGTTTCTCCTCCATATACAGCGTCACAATCCCCACAATTTCGCTGGTACACACAATTTTGTTGATTGTCTTCACCAGTGATGAGTGTAAGATGGTATCCGTTGCACGAAAATACACTCTCACGTCATGTCTGTTAAGGATTCGCTTTATTTTTAATTATTTTGAATCGGGTCTTACTTCTCACAGAATATTGTCGTTTACTTCCTTGAACTAACAAGTTGTAGTGCGATTAGAGATTATGATTTCTTATCTAAAAGAAACTCACTTTATACTAGTAGCAGCATTACACTAATCAATGTAAGTACTAATGACGATAAGAGTAATAGTAATAACCGATTTCCATCTGTATTGTTTTTTTTAAAAATTTACCAGCATTTCAACAAGGTCAACAACAACAGTCTTCAGGTATTATTATCCCCACTAGTCATCAGTCAATACTGCCGGGTTTCAATGGATTTACCCAGTACCCTCAACAAACTCATACTCCATCCTTTCAATCCTCTGGTGCATCAGATCTAAGTAGTACACTGTATCTACAGAATAATGGTGGCAATGGTGGTCGGGGTGTTGGTGTTGGTGTTAGTTCTGGTGCTGATGCCGCCAGTTTTAATGGTACATTTGGTTTTACCAACACTTATCGATCAAATTATCAACCAACCTACAGCCAGTCTGGTTCGTCGACACTCGGTGTTTCTGTTGGACCACCAGTAGGCATAAACTACTGGCCTGGAAATTATTCATCTCAGAGTTATCCTATTCCACAGTCACAGTGTTATCAAAATGTCACTGCGGCTGCAATCAATGCTAATGCTCACAATAATAATAACAGTGGTCACAATTATCAACAACAATTTCAAAAGCAACAACAATATCATATACCAGAGAAATATCTTTCAGAGAAGTTGATCTCATCACAGAAGCTGATGAATAATGGTAGTAGTAGTAGTAATAGTAGTAGTATCCCATCACAATCCAGTTATGCAACACCGTTAATAATTTCTGCACAACACCAACAACAGCAACAACAATGTGATCATTGTCGTCAACTGTATGATGATCAGTTGTCAACAGTAAACTGTTTGTCTAAATATCCACTAAATAATAATAAACACAATTATCCAATAGGTAAACATACATCTGTTGCTGTTGTTGTACACACTAAGAGTAATGTTGTCACTAATGCGAGAAGTAATAGTGACAGTTGCATGAGTCGTACTCATAATAATAATAATAGTAATCCACCAGTTAGAAGACAAGTTCATGGGAATGAATCGGTCAACAAAAGCAGCAACAGCAGCAATAATAACAATAATAATAAGTCTTTCAATTCTATTTACCCAACCAAACAACCTGCCACCAGTGTTGAATCGAAGCGACGCTATTCTCAAAAACATAATCGTAATAATAATGATAATAATAATAATAACGGTTCTAATCTGAATCATACAGAGGCAAGCAATGATTCAAACTCAAATGAAAGTGTGCTAAATCATAACAACAGCACTAGAAATGGCAGTCGTCCTAATCAAGCTCAAAGTGACTCTGTTGTTGTCAGTAAAATGAGCAATAAAGAGAATAATAATAGTAGTGGTTCTCCCGATGAGTCTTACAGACATGCTGCCGCCAATGTTAGTCTTTCTTGTTCTCCTCTTACAGAGAGAACAGTTTCTGTTACTACAACTGCTACTACTAGTACTACCACTACTACTCCTGTCATTCCTGATCATTCGAATGTTGACCAGATTGTAGCAGTTGATGAAAGCAACACTAAACATGAATCCTCCTCCTCATCTTCCTCTTCCATCGCCTCGTCTTCTTCTTGTTGTAAAAACTCACAATCTAACAGCAACAGCAACAATAATAATAATACAAAGTCATCTGATACCAGTGTAAAATCTGTTGCATTAATAATCGATGAAACAGAATGGCCAAAACTTGAAACAGCTGTTAATACTAAGGATACAAGAAAAACTTCATTCACAGTAAGTTGATAGAAATTTTAAACGTTTTTTTTCTTTTTTCACTGGATATGTTTCTTTGCTTTGTTGGTTTGTTTGTTTACAACAAGCATGAGCTTTTTATGTCGTCAACATTTTTGAATCTAATCGATCAATTGTGAGGTTTTTTTGGCTGAAAAGTAAATGCAGTATTTGTCACTTCAAGTGATTGATTTAAGAGTAGATTTCTATCACTGGAAACCAGGGGACACTGTCTAGCTGTTCCGCCTTAGCTCATGACTCTTCAGCAGTATGCATCTGTGGCCTCATCAACAGTCCAACCTAGGCCATTCAGGTTAAAAGGCGAGCGGCGACCACCTCACCATTAATCCACTGGATTGGAATCGAACAGCCTGTGAAAGGTAATTTCATGCATGAAAACACGACAAGTACTTTAGCGACTAGTCTCTTTTCGGGTAATTCATTCTACGCTTCAGCCGTACAGTCGCATTTATATACAACTTTTCTCCTCCATATTAGTTTGTTTATTAGGTATATCACACAGTGAAACAGTATTATTTACTGGATGACGTTTCGAACAAAATTTATTGTTCATAATCATATCAATTGTGATCACACGACTTTGACACTTGAGTTTTATAGCTTTCTTTGTTTTCTCCTATTTGTCGTAGGGGGAGTAGAATTTTCCAGATATCGGGGACAGGTGATGAATCATTCCTATTACATGTATTTGCAGTTGATTCGATAAACAAAGCTTCTGTTACCAATCTCTCCGCCCTGTGACATTAGATTTTAAAACCGTCATCTTATCCCACCCTATTGTATGGTTGTGTGTGACTGCATGTAGTGCTATAGCTGAACTATTCTCTAGATATTATTATTATTATTATTACCATACAATAGGATGGGATAGGATGACAGTTTTAAAATCTAATGTCACAGGGTATAGGGAGAGATTGATAACAGAAGCTTTGTTTATCGAATCAACTGCAAATACATGTAATAGGAATGATTCATCACCTGTCCCCGATATCTGGAAAATTCTACTCCCCCTACGACAAATAGGAGAAAACAAAGAAAGCTATAAAACTCAAGTGTCAAAGTCGTGTGATCACAATTGATATGATTATGAACAATAAATTTTGTTCGAAACGTCATCCAGTAAATAATACTGTTTCACTGTGTGATATACCTAATAAACAAACTAATATGGAATTACTTACTACCACAGTGCCCAAGTTTTACACATATATTAACTTTTCTCCTCATCAAAAAGGGTAGTAATAGAAGTGATGAGTTGTCACAAACATTTTTCATAATGGTCAGTGACTAACAGGAGATGACTAAGTGTATCTCTAGTTAGGTAATAAGATAAACAATTTAATGAGCGAATTGTAATCAGGAGGAAAGAAACCTTCAGCCAAAATGGATACAACCACTGAGATTCATCGACAAGAATATCAAACCAACAGTTCAGAGGAAAGAAAAATTAATTGTTGCAAACTAGAAACTCTACACGAAGCTGAATTTCAAAGGAGACTTCACCTGAATGAGATATCCTTAAGAGAAGGGAATTTCATCATCTTTGAGAAGAACCTTCCATCTTCACAGCAACGCTAAGAGTAAGATTTCTAAAGAAATGCAAGAGTTATAAGGAGTTAGAAAAACATATAAACGAAATTCAAGTCAGTAACAATCAACAAGTTTGTTGCAATGATAGTAGAAGTGGCTGAATTATAATTTCCTTTTGTATACATAACTCTGGTTTTTCCAACTGAATGATTAAGGCTTCAGCAATCCACAGTGAAAACAAAAGCGTATCGTGTTTGACCGGTTGTTTTTCACTCTGTAGATTATTTGAACGAGAAAATTGCTGAGATGGAATGATTAGTGATGACAAGGTGTTCGACTGTATCGTACTCCTTATAGAGCCAACCACTACTTTCTTTCTGCAACCATGCGGTGTGGGGTAGTGTTCTTGAACTCTTCTACACAGACAGGATACGTGTCAAACGACCAATATACCTGGTTCCACAGGAACACCTGAACTGTTATTGTCATATAAATATAATCAGATGCAAGGTGTTGTTCTTGAGGCTTCTGCAGACTGATGGATGACTGACTGACTGGAGAACACGACTTTTAGTGTAGCTGTGAATGTTCTTCTCAAAGATGTTGAAATTCTCTTCTCCTAAGGATATCTCACTCAGCTTCATGTAGAGTTTCTTGTGTACAACAATTGATGTTTCCTTCCTCTGAACATTTGGTTTGATATTCTTGTCAATGAATCTCAGTGATTGTATCCATTTTGGATGAAGGTTTCTTTCAGAAGATCTGGTTTTTCTTCTTGGGTGTCAGGACTGCATATGCGTCTGATGTGAGTAATAAGGGATTTAGTTCGATTTTATTTTCATTCAAGGGACACCCAACCGTAGAAACTTATTCGTTCACCATTCTTTGTGGGTTTCTTATGAACTGACCTTCATAAAGTCTCATCGAATCGTGTTGTTAGTCTCACATCGAGATAGGGAATTCAGGATTCGTGTCGAATACTTGTAGCAATTGATTGGGGTCATAACTTTTGTCGTAAAGGATGAAAATGTCATCTACTTACCGTTCTTACAGGTGTAGATACTAATACCAACATAAATAATATGGTTTAAAATAAAGAGAGATAAAAGAACTAAATTATGTGTTGCTCTTACTCGGAAAGGGAATGGCGTTTGGGTTACTGGAGCTGATTTGCAACTGTCTCCCTTTGAGTTAGTTTATGAATTCAATGGGTATTTATGTGCTTGGTTGCCTGTCTAAAACATAAGATAGAGCACGTTGTTACAGGGTTGGTGGCTCACTTGTTGTAGGATCCTCAAACATACCTTGCATGTGGTTTGGGGTTCAATTCCCGGTCGGCGCACATCTTCACCTCGCCTAACCAGTTGTAAGCTCGACGAAGGTAGGGGAGTTGGGCGTGGAGCTATCAACCTCATCCCGTAAAAAAACACCACTACCACCGAAACTTCACAGCTCAAGCTTGGAGCCGTGTGTTCTAGTGGAAACGCAAAGCAATAGAAAAAAAAACCTTTGTTGCAGCTTTCAACTATTGACTTAGAGTAAGTTACTTGGATTACTATTCTCATTTCTCTATCTAACATTTTATGTTAATGTAAACAGTAACTTTATATGTCAAAGCCGTATGAACTGATGAATGTTAGTCAACTTGTCAAGTGGCTGAGTACTTATCCATTCTCACCTTAAGCTTAAATTCCACTTCGACCTCAACATATCCACTTCACAACTGGAAGGTCCTATGTTTGACTCCCAGCAGAGTCGTAGATGTCTACCATTGAAGAGTCACATACTAGAACGAAACAGCTATCCAGTTACTACCTGGTTTTCAATGCTTCTCTAGGTGAATACAATTCATGATCTAATTTCATATCCGTTCTGATGTATTTAATCTCCAAAAAACTGATGTTACTCACCAAATGACTGCAAGCATTTCAGAAAACTTTCGTATAAAAGAGTTCATGTGATTTAAGAAAATGAATGTTCATTTACTCACTTAGTTATTAAGGTGATGTATAATAGGTACGAAAAAATAGTGCTGCAGCCATTTACGCGGTGATGTTGATTTCATTATTTCACTCGACTTCTGGTCGATGCATTTCAATCTCGGCTAAATTATCAACCCCTACACAATATCTGTGTGATCAAGTAACTGAGTTATTACTAACGTCTGGCTTCTATTATAATATTCATCTGTTTTCGAGTATTCGATTTACACTAAACTGATTGACGAAGTAGAAGACTACTAGTCGAACGGTAACGTCATCTAATGGCTTAAGGTCATGAACCATGAGTCAGGTCACCTCAAGTTACTTACCAACCACTTACTGCATTTCCATGAGATCGGCAATGAATGAGTCACACATATTGTGTGTCTCTGTGTGTGTGTGTGGGGGGGGGCAAAGTGATACTACCTGGTTGTTCAAACCCTCGACAATTGGAGCGAGGTTCGAGTCCGTGGCCCAATCTATGAATGGTAGTCAAGCGCCTAGACCAATGAACTACAACTTCACCATAAATAAATCAAGAGACATGCTAATTTCCTCTACCTTTCAATGGTTCCCTAGCCTGAATCATACATTTCAATAATTTTTATCGTGTTTTTGTGTCAGTTATTCCTCCATGAGTTAAAGAAATATTCATTTAATAAAACTACACTAGCAAACAGACACAAAGATATGCCAAAGTCAAACTGTACAGGATTTCATCATGAGCTGACATCAGTTAGAGAACCATTGGAAAACCTCGGAGTACTGGACAGCTGTTTCGTCCTAGTTTGGGACTCTTCAGCAGTACGCACCCACCGGGATTCGAACCCAGGACCTTCTAGTTGCAAGGCGAGCTCGTATACCATTACCACTGGGACCCGATCCAATGGTCCATGAATTCTAACTTCTGCCAATTCACGACATAGCGCGACCATTTCGCGCTGTACCCTACTGGTCACGGCTTCCCACTAGAACCCCAGGTGACTACCCACCTGAATAGGGCAAGTCGCTAGTGAGCATCTCATTGATTTTCAGGTTTTCCAATGGTTCTCTAACTGATGTCAGCTCATGATGAAATCCTGTAACCAATCAAATCCCTACAAACGAACACTTGAAAATCAAACTGTACACGCTATTGCGTCATTTTAAGCTACCATATTTCAAACACCCACGCATACACACGCATAGACAAGGTACATATATGCAAAACAATTCTGCAAGGGGTAGACGTGTATGTGCGTGTACATATATGATGAAAAAGAAAAACTACCTGGGTGTCAGTCATGTTCAAAAAATTTCGAAGATTAGATTAAATGATGGCATTGTAAAGAATTATGAGGCATGTCACTCATTAAAAGTTGTTAATGTTTGATTGTTAACAGTTAATTGAAGACTCCTATCAAACTTTTCACAGCTTCTTGAGTTTGGATACTAGTATTTCCTGACACGAATTTAAGACAAGCGGAAAATATGAATAAAGCAAGATTTAATAAGAATTCGTTACATTTCGGTAGAACGCCTCAAATGAATACAGTACAACATACACTGTGCAAAATATATCAGGTGGTTAATAAGCAAGGAGAAGCAAAAATGCTTCGCTTATCAAATTTCATATAGACTGATAGATAGAAAGTGGAAGGCGTGGGCGAGTTTGTAAATTTTAAGTTATATTGGAATACAGTTCGGTTACGTTACTATTGTAGTGACATATTTATCATCTACTTTAAACTTAACCTGTAAAATGACTTCACCTTCTCAAGAGTTAGTTTATCGAGATTTGATATAAATGAAGTTTGACTATTGGAGAACCACTGAAAACCACCAGGGACTACTGAACAACTGTTTCCTCCGCCTAGTTTGGAACTCATCAACAGTACGCACCCACTATCAGGGCTAGAATCCAGAACTTTCCGGTTACAAGGCAAGCTCGTAGACCACTCAGCCACTGGTTTCTACCAAATCGTGATATTAGCACGACCATCAACTGGAGTTCTAGTGAGAAGTCGTGACCAGTGAGGTTCATCCTGTCGGGAGTGAGGAGAAATACTCACCACAAATGGCATTGGCAGCAGAATCCCGAAGTGGTAGAAGTTAGAATTCATGAACCCAGTGGCTGGATGGTCTACGAGCTTGCCTTGTAATTGGAAAGTCCTGGTTTTGAACCCCAGTGGGTGGGTATTGCTGAAGAGCCCGACACTAGAGCAAAACAGCTGTCCAGTACTCCCTGGTGGTTTTCAATGGTTCTGTAACTGATATCAGTCCGCAGTCAAATTTTTGCCCTTTTCTCTGCTCTGATTGATTTATTGTAACTCATTCAATAGTCACATATCTCCTTACATATTTTCTATAGAGTAAATGTAACACTTTATGTAGAGTATTCATCTATGATTGACTGACTGATTGGTTTCAACGTAGAACTTTGCACCGATGTGCAGCAGTTCGAGTTGCCACATTTCATGTAGCACACAAAGGAAGAGAAGATAGTAAAAAGAGGTTAATCAAACGAGAGATAATAAACACAGATATGAGGCAAAAAAATAGTATTATGTAATAACAATTGAGTTTTATTACTTATGACAAATCACGAATAGTCAATGGATCTGCTGCATTAACAGCAGTTTTCAGACGTATCACCAATAGTCTATACCCATTGGTTTTTACCATCCGAAGGACCCCAACCACAGAGCAGTCTACACATCCCTACATGGCTGGCTTAAACTAACTATTATGGATTTCATTAACTGGCCACCACTAGCTAACTCTTTTCCAATCTGACTAATCCTATGTTAGCTAACATTGCCCATTGTCAAGGAAGGAGGTGGCTGGAGATGCATGCGTAACACATGTCCTAACCGTCTTCCTCAATCTATGTAACTTCACAACCTCGTCGACTGATTCTGCCTCCAAATCACCTAGCACTCGACCAAAGTCTAACCTTAATATTACTCACCTTATCATACTACGAGAGATAGAACTCAGACACCTATGATCGAAGATAGCTAACCAGACTTTTCATATCTTCCACTCTCAATGACCACGTCTCACAGCAATAAAGGAGGACAGAGCGGACTACTGAGCAGTACACAGGTCCTTTGGTCGATAGCCGGATGTCACGTCTACACAAGAGATGATGCAGGTTATCAGATGCTAAACGAGCCTTCCGTATCCATGCTGAAATTTCGTCAGCGATCAACCCGTTGGGTCTAATGATAATATTTATGGAGATATGAACACGATAATTTAACATGTAGTGGCCGAAAGAAAAAGAAATAGAGGCTCCGTTTTCTGCAATAATGGCTGATCGTTATTTCACCGACCGAGTTGTTAGTGCAATTGTTGAATTCAATGGCGAAAATACGATTCTGTGTATAACGCCTCTAAGATGCCAAAATTACTCATTAAATGCCATCTATTTATGTGTTTTTGAGTGATTTATTTCACTAACTAACAGAAATTAGAATTCATGGTTCATTGGGGATTGTAATCAGTAGTCGTTTCAAACGAGGCTACTAGACTGGAGTTCCCTAATGGGTGTGAAAGATCTATTCCTTTAGGAAGTTGAAGTCAATTCCTATGGACTCCTACAAAAGAGTTAAATAAGCATATCATGTTTAGTCCCCGCTTGCTCAGATTGAATGTACTGCATATTAGTTCGTCTTCCTAATTTACAGATGTGAGATTTGACTGCTGAAAGTTTCTTTCATTGACTGTGTCCCGAGTGGGACCTAGGGTTTCGAGCCTCTAAGTTTCAGTGGTGGTGGTGGCGGTGTTGTTTCTATGGCATGCGGTTGCATGTGGTAGCCTCAAGTTCAACATTTACTTTTTTTGCGGGCTTACTATTGTCTAGGATACCAGGGGAGTTTTAGGAGTGTGCAGGCTAGAAATCTAACTCCAACTGCTGGAACTAGAAGATACAAAAGAATTACTCAATTTTAAAAACAAAACCTTTGATAGTATGCTTAATATGTGGTAAAACTGACTGGCCAGTTTCAACATAGAACTTTGCACAGAAATGGGCCACTTCGAGTTGCCACACTCCATGAAGCACACAAAGGAAGACAAAAAACAGGAAAGAGAGATTCGGGGGAAGGATAATAAGCGTAATTGTGAGAAAGAAAGAACACTAACATTTAAAAAACAATAGGGTTTTGGATATCGGAGATTACAAAGAGTGAATTCATCTGCTGCAGCCATTGACAACGATTTTCAGCCACATAACTTATAGCCTCTAACCGTTGGTTCTTAGAATCCTGATGACCCCAACAAGGGGCAGTTTACACCTCCCTACGTGATTAGCTGAAACAAACTGTCGAAAATTTCATGGACTGATGCCATGTTTTTGGTTTGACTACCATAAGCTCTTTTCCAACTAGAATAAGTAGGGATGAGACCAAATGTTAGGGTATTTGGTGATAAAGACAAAAATTATACGCCAGCTAACATGTTTGAAACATTCTAAAAGAGTCACACAGTTATAAGCCGAAAGAATACAACCTACAAAACTGCCGTTTTCGTCGAGTTACTGTAGAAAAAGAAATGCATACCATTGACTTTTGCGAGCAGCTGATGTGGCCGCATTTCTATTATCACGAGAATATCAAGCTTGGTTAGGAAGATTCTCTTTAAGGTCATCAGACTGAATGTGGTATACAAGTCAGAGGAAAACAAGCAACTAATTCAAGAGGTTAAAGCAAAATATAAGCGTCAATAGAGCAGGATTTAATGAATTCGACAAAATCCAGTTAGAATTCCACAGATGAATACGGGCGTGTGCACTGCTCATCAGTCCTCTCTGTCCTCCTTTATAGCTGTGAGACGTGGCCATTGAAAGTGGAAGACATGAAAATGTTGGATAGCTGTCTTTTAATCATAGGTGTATGAGTTCTATCTCCCGTGTTAAGTGGTATAATAAGGTGAGTAATTTTGAGGTTAGACTTCGGTCGAGTGCTAGGTCAGTTGGAGAGGAAATCAATTGACGAAGTTGTGAAGCAGCTGCATCCTTTGAGGGAGATGGTTAAGACGTGTGTTTCGCATGCATGCCTAGCCATCGCCTTACTTGACATTGGGCAATGTTAGCTGACATAGGATATGTTAGTTTGTAAGGGAGTAAGCTAGTGTTGGTCAAACCAAAACATAGCTTCATCAGTCAATGAAATCCATGACTGTTCGTTTAAGCCAGACACCTAGGGATGTGTAGAGTTGTTTGTTGAGGTCCTCGGTATGATTAGAACCAATGAAGACTGGAGACAATTGGTGATATGGTTCAAAATCGTTCCCAGTGGCTGGTGCAGATGCATTCACTCTTTGTGATTTGTCATATCTAATAAATCTCTATTGTTCTTTCATATTACTATTCCCTTACCCTCAATTTTCTGTTTATATGATGTTGACAAGTGTTTCCTCTGGAAGACAGTATCGTTTCCAGTTAGTGACCCGATTATAAAATCCCTTATTTCACATAAGTATATTGATGGATTTATCGTAAAAATTTTAATCATCGTTTACATATTTATGTGAATGGTGGTGAGCCAATTTTTAGCTGTTTAAATCTTGTTTCATCGAATTAGAATGATTAAATATTTATGTTAAATAATGACTGTCTTCAGTCCTACTTGCCTCCTGTCCTCCGTTTGTTATTGCCCTCCAGTGGAGTGGTTGTTTACTCGTTGAGGAGGATCTTGAGTCTAGAAATCTTCGTTTACAAGTTAAATCACCAAAATGACATCAGTTAGAGAACCGTTGAAAATCATAGCGTACTCATCATCCGTTTCGTCCTAGTTTGAGACTTTACAACTGTATACACTCGTCACTGCAACGGGAGTTGAACCCATGACCTTCAGTTTACGAGACGAGCTTGTTGATCGCTGAATCATTATTGGGTTCAATTCCAATGGCCTATGTATTCCAACCCCCATTAATGCGTGATATATTATAGCTCAACCAACCAATTTCTTCACCGGTAAGTATTTGTCCTCACTGCCGACTCTGTGGTGGACCCCACTGTTTTTCTGTAATCGAGGTGTAGTGGAGTTTTTTTATGTTTTCTATATAATATAACAATATATGTTGATTGTTTTTGTATGGCTTTAAAATAGGTGGCACGGAAAACTTTCAAACGATCATCAATGTTAAATGGTGAAAGGCAACAAACGAAGAAGTTATGATTTCATATATGTGTGTGGATTCTGGACTCCCTAGAAATATCTGCGCTTGTTCACACGATATACTGTTGTTAGCTAAAGAATAAACTGATTTGGGCGAAAAAAACAAAAGACAGTTGAATAAATTTCATTGTTTGTGAAGGGTGATGAAGTCGAAAAAGCGGAATATTTTTGATTGTTATTCAATAAAAAGAATATATCTTATGCTGTGTAATGTTTGTACATCGTTTTCTCCTTTTTCCCGTGTATACTTTTATCGATTGTGTAGTTTTTTTCCAGCTGTCTGCGATATTGTGAATTTGCTTTCTGTACGCAAATGTGTGGATCTTTTATTTGTCGTGTTTGCGTGTGTCTGTTAGATAGAATTGCGTTGTCTTTCCACAGTGTGATTTTAGGCGCATATCTTGTGTTGTCATGCTGTAGGTATTGGTTATGCATATGTTTGTGTGTCTTTCAACATCTTGTATTTTCAAATTCTCCATTCCTTCCCCCCGCCAACGTCTTTATCGTGTATGTTTTTAGTATGTTTTCTTTCTTGAGAGAATAAAGAAGATTCCTAGCTCATTAGGATGATTTTGATGTGGTTGTGTTCTCCGACGAATAGCACTCTAAAAAATAATTTCCGCATCAATGTAATTTGTTTGTTTTGGCATAAGATTAGGGTGGGTGGTTCAAGTGTAGTGTGATTGTTCGGGTCCGTTTACATTTCTCATTATAGGTTAGCTACAGTCGTGAGGTGTTTTCGCGCATAGTATCACAAACGCCGCAAGAAATATTCCAATTGTGTGAAAAAGAATCGATTAAGCAGCCAAACGTGAAAGCCTATCTCTAAGAACGCACAGCAGAAAATCACATGAGACCAATAACCTAGAACAAAAATTGTAATCGTAGTTGATCGCCGTCATTCTACCCATTCAAGTAGGCTGAAATGAGAGAATGGCAAGTGTGTTTGGGCATACCATTTATCGTAACACCAGAAGATAAGAGAATTTGGCAAGGAAATTCTTTATTGGCAACTCCATACACAGATATGAAGGCGGAATACGTACCATGTATAAGAATCACAATTTGCATATATCTTAGGCATTGTGCTTCTTCGTCCTGTTTTCATGTTGTTTCTTACGCGTCGTTCATTAAACTCATCTGTCTGCTTTTCGATATTCCTACCGCTGACATATATACTTTATATTTACATACATATGTAGATGATATGATATGTAGGGATGCCCATTATCCCCATTCCTATTCAATTTCATCTTAGATGTACTAATAGACTTAGCCTTAACTAACTTCAGAGACTCATGGGATTGACTTGCTACCAGGGAATAATCTCGTTGACTTAGAATATGCAGACAATATAGTCCTTCTAGGCGAGGGTCCTGACAAAATGCAGAGTCTTCTGAACACCTTGAGTTGCAATCTACGAATGTTTGGCATGCGATTCGCTCCCGCCAAATGTAAGATGATGTAAATGGACTGGACTACACTGACTCCTAGGTTAGAAATAGGTAATGAAGTGGTAGAGCACTTTGACCGCTTCACTTATTTGGGAAGTACCATCAGCCAGCGCCAACGGGCTGATCTCTGACGAAATTTCAGCACGGATACAGAGGGCTAGTGTCGCATATATCAGTGTACGCCGTCTCTGGCGTAGACGTGATATCCGGCTTTCGACCAAAAGGCGGGTGTACTGCTCAGCAGTCCGCTCCGTCCTCCTGTCTGGTTGTGAGGCCTGACCATTAAGAGTGGAAGACAAGAAAAGGCTGGCTAGTTGTCTTTAATCATAGGTGCCTGCATTCTATCTCCTGTGTGAAGTGGCATAATAAGGTGAGCAATACTGAGGTTAAGCGTCGAGTGCTAGGCAAGGAGGGGAAATCAATCGACAAGGCTGTGAAGCTACATCGACTGAGATGGTTAGGACATGTGCTACGCATACCTAGTCATCGCTTTCCTCGACGGGCAGTATTAGCTGACATAGGGTCAGGCTGGAAAAGAGCTAGCGGTGGTCAAACGAAAACATGTCATCAGTCAATGAAATCTACAACAGTTAGTTTAAGCCACGTAGGAAGGTGTAGACTGCCTGGTTGGGGTCCTCGGGATGGTAAGAACCAATGGTTGGAAACAATTGGTGACATGGCTCAAAATCGTTCTCAATGGCCCAGATGCATCCACTCCTTGCGACTTATGATTTCCAATTAAACTGTTTTGTTCTTCGTTACTACTATTCCTTTGTCTCTCACCTCTGTTTACTGTTTATATTATGCATTTCTTTTCTTGCTTTGTGTGCTACATGGAGTGTGGTGACTCGAACTGCCACACATCGATGCAAAGTTCGATGTCGAATGCAGACAGACACACATCCATATGCTACTTATAAACCTTATCAGTAGCACATGCCACAACATACTCGTATTTAGTTCTTTGTGTACTGAGTACTGTATGAACATTCTTACTATTGTAGTAGGAGATTTAAATTATGAAGAGTTATCATAGAAAGCCTTAGTAATACTTTTTTTCTCAAGACAAAGCTTCAATAGCCAATCTCACAGTGTATTATGCAACACAATACATGTTACTGACTATTATGAGTAGTTGGAGACGAACCAGTATTGCTTACAAGCCAGATAACAGTGACTGAAGCACTAGGTGGTCGTTTTAGCCAGATTTATCAGTGTTGCATCCAGACTGCTCCGTCTCAGTCATCTAAGTCAATTGAAACAAATTGGATTCTCGTTAATTACTTTGGCTAACTGCTAGTGATAGTGATGATAATCTTCAAATCACAATATGTGACCGGCTTAACCCAGTAAATGGTAGTCAGAAAGGAGACTGATAACGACCAATTACATTGCACTATCTGTCTCTAATGTGATACACGTTAATCCTACTTTGTATTCATGAATTTGAATAAAGCAATAAAAACAATTTGTGAATAATAAGATAGTGTTGTGTTGGGTGCTACTTATAATCAGATATAAGTAGTATATCAGTAAATGAGTTCAGAAAAGTAACAATATGTTTCGGGCACTGGAAAAAGGCAATCGAAGGAGTGGACTGTGAGATGAACGTAACAACACTGTGCATAATCTAACAAGCTGTCAAATGTGGTGATATTTGCCCAGTTTTCACATTATGTGCAAATGAAGACTTCGAGATTAAGGTATACTAAATTTATGTACATACAATGCGTTTGCTTTCGGACCTCATCGGTCTTACTTCTCTACAGTACCATCATTTATTTCGTTGGCTTCTCACCAGCTGCTAACAGTCTAAAGAAGTTATTATGTACAGAAGAAATTTTAACATACTTGCAAACCATGTCAGCTGACATGAGGCTCCAGACTTAATAAACTGCACAGAAAATTGCATTTCTGTGGTCTATGCCCACAGGGGTTCAAGTTTAAACAAAAATAAATGTTTGCATACAATAGTGAATGAGCTACGTAGTAAAAACAAGAGGTGGGTAGGATTATGAGCAACAATGTGATCTCAACTCAAATCGCTGGAACAAGAGACAAGTAAAGTTACACTATGTAGAGAGGGGTGGTTAATGCCAAAGAATACATAAACATGCTTGCTGGCGTATCCTAACGCTGTGACTTACAAATGCATAACAACGGTCAAACCAAAAGGCGCACATAAAGCTTTCCATGGGTTGCATAATATCGAAAGAGTTAAATTCAAGAAGCTGCAACGAAACAGACAGTAGGTAGTAATTAGTCAATAGCAAAACAAAAATTCGACGACATAATTGAAGTGACTTACACTAATGAATGTAGATTTAACTCATTATAATGACGCCTGCGTAGAATACAGCTGTAAGTGGTTATCTCCTGTAGTCGGAAATGTCAGGCGATACCAGGAAGAGAATTTTTAAAAATGTTTATATAGTTATAATTTTTTATTAAATCACAACTTGCATGCATGAGGTGCAAACTAATAAAAAGATGTAAAGAGCTTGTTAGAATATATAAAATGATAGCGATTAACGAGATACCTTTTGTCCTAAATATTAGAAAAGCCAACGTATACTTGTTAGTAAGAAAACAGGAAGTTAGATCTCATTAAACGGTTAAGACTATTGACAATTTACTACTGTATGAAAGATACGTAGATGATATTTTCATCATTTGCGACAATAGTTATGATCCTAATCAACTGCTACAAGCATTTAACAACTGCCATCCAGCGAAAAAATTCACTCTTGAAATTGAAAATGAATCCAAAATCCACTTTCTTGATGTGGAATTAACAAAACCACCCGGTGGAGCCTCAAGAAGGTCAGTCCAAAGGCAGCCCACTTGGATTGGTCAACTAACAAGTATCTGCAATAGATTGCTTGTTGAACGAGAAAACCCTTGCCACTCGGATCCGACGCATCCGTCTTCTTGACGCCCTAGAAAAAAAAAAACAGATCTTCTGAAAGAAACCTTCATCCAAAATGGATACAACCACTGAGATTCATCGACAAGAGTATCAAACCAAAAGTTCAGCGAAACGAAACATTAATTATTGCCAACAAAAAACTTTACATGAAGCTGGACTTAAAGGGAGACTTAACCTGAATGAGATATCCTTAAGAGAAGAGAATTTCAGCAATTTTGAGAACAACCTTCCATCTTCTTAGCGACGCTAAGAGTAGTGTTCTCCAGTCAATCAGTCAGTCATCCACCTGTCTGCAGAAGCCTTGGGAACAAGATCTCGCATCTAACCATTTCAATGTGCATACATCGATTTACGTGTTCCTGTGGAGCCACGTACATTGGTGGTTCGACACCTAGCCTGTCTGTGTAGAAAAGTTCAAGAACACTATCCCACTGTGCATGTGATATATTTGAACAGCTTATCAACACTAGTCATTTCATCTCAACAAACGCCTCCTCCAAAGTAGTCTACAAAGTAAAGAACAGCCTGCCAAATGCAAAACACTTTTGTTACCGTTGCATTGTTGCAGTGGTAACCACTCAGTCGGAGGATTCGGAGCTATGCTTTCGAAAGGAAATTATTATCCAACTATTTCTACTATAATGGTGACAACTGTATTGATTTCTACTGACTTGAATTTCGTTTATTTCTTTTTCTGATTCCTAATAACTCATGCATTTCTTTAGAAATGTTACATAATTTCATATTCTCCCTCGTCTTTATGTGCATGGTGATTACAGCTCATTCTTCACTAAATTATTCATCTTAATACGTAACTCTGAAACACTTACCTATTCAACTTCTTTTATGCATTGACAACTATATTTGTCAAGTATTGGTTTTGTAGGGATTTTGTCTGATGTCAGCTCATGATGAAATCCTCCACGCAATCAAACAAAATCCCTACAAAACCAATACTTGAAAATTGATCTAATGCTCACTAGTGACTGGCCCTATTCAGGCAGTTAACCTGGGGTTCTAGTGGGAAGCCGTAACCAGTAGGGTACAGCGCGAAATGGTCGCGCTATGTCGTGAATTGGCAGAAGTTAGAATTCAAGGACCATTGGATCGGGTCCCAGTGGCTCAATGGTCTACGGGCTCGCCTTGTAACCAGAAGGTCCTGGGTTCGAACCCCGTTG